CGAGGGACGGCGCTGGGCAGGGGGACCAGCCCCGGGCCCCTGCCAGGCTCACCCCCGCCGGGCAAAACCGCCGGGCTGCCCACATCCCTCGTTGCCGAGGAGCCTGTGCCAAGTCCAGGAGGACCCTGGTCCACTCTTAAACATTGGGGTGGTGGGGTTTTTTTCCGTCCCCCTCCCTCCCTCCCTCCAAAAAGGCTTCAAAAGCCAATGCAAATTCAGCCGTGCAAAAAGAGGCAGATCACACCCCGCGGGCAAACGATTTTGGCGTTACAGAGTATCAGAAAACGAAAAGCTTCCAGAATTCGCTTCACCTGTGGCCGCACCGGTTGCTGGTGTTTCGGAGCACGCTGAGCTGCAGCTACAGAGCAAACCCACGCCAAGGCCACCCCTGCTGCCAGGCGGGCTTTCAGGGCTCAGAGTTTTGGACAGCAAAGAGAGAGAGACGTCTTTGCCTTAAAACAGCAAGTGGTTTTCACACACATAGAAACAAACATACATTCTGGATCAAAATATGAGGGTTTGGTTTAGAAGTGACTCTTCTTCCCTTGACAATCTCTGCACTGTTTTACACTGTCTGAATTTGACCATTAGCCACATCTGTTACAGCCACACACCTTCGACCACATCACTTAAACACGGATTTTCTCTGGGTTCAAAGCTGTGCATGTATGCATTCACTATCTACACTATAATTACCCCTATCAGATCTTACAGGATTCCCTAAAACAATGATTTATAAGCACTGAGGGGAAAAGGGGAAGTGTTTTCCACAAAAATCTTATCTTCTGAAAAAATACAGGATTGTGATGGCTGTCTTCAAGAAATACAAGAATTCAGATTTATTTCCCTTCTTATGGAAGTCGTATGATTTAACAGATGCAAAGCTAGGTCAGGTATAAAGTCTGCAGCCATTTCTTTAAAATCATACAGAATCAAATAAAAATACGAACCCTCTTCTTTAATGATATATATAACTGTCCTATAGGTTCCTACAGGACATCATGGAAGGAAACAGAGCCAGAAATGAGACCGCAGGGGTTAACAACACTGCCATCGGGTCAGGAAGGGATATTAATGGCACACCAACGGAGGAAGCAGAATTCCCCCAGACAGTAAATGGTGCCTGGGGTAGTCTGGGAGTGCCCCCGAAAAAGAGGAGCAGGGTCTGTAACACGCTTTACCCCAACATTTACATAAACTCTTCTGCCAACACAGTGCTGCTGCCAAGGGGTGTGGGAACGGCTGACCCCTGGAATCAAGAAGTGAGAAAATTACTAATAAACATGTCTATCAAAAAACTGTCATGACATTTTTCATTGCTAGTATTGGTCTTGACAGTTAAAAAATAAGGGAAAAATGTAGAATTTCTTTAGAAGGATTTTAGCACTAGGCATCATAAGTAAGTAGATCTGGCTGTTCTTTATTAAATTAACAAACATCTGAGGTGGAATAAAATCTACCATAGATAGAACCAATTCCCTTATTTATGCAGAATTGTTTCCTACAATATTATAATTTATTATTATTTTAAATCTAAATTCTTTTTCTTCTTGTAGATTATTTATATGAATAAGGGTCAATAATTTGAAACAAGTTTTAGGAAGTAACATAAAGACAGTATGGACAAACTCCCAAACCTAAAAAAACCCCACAATCAGCCTTCCCCTCACCCCTCTATATTGCCTATAAGCATATTTATAACCTTAATAATACCACAATGTGGGTTATTCTTATCTTTCTCCTTTGATCCTCTAAGATCCCAAATATGACCTTTGATCCTCCAGCCATATTTTTAAACTTTTGATTGAAGCGGTAAGGATTAGAGACATATTTAAAAAAAAAAAAAAAACAACCAAAAAAACAACAACACAAAACAAAGCCAAAACAAAGCCAAAATCCTCCTACAGCTGCCAGACTTCAGGAGCTTGACTCCCCATAAAATCAAGTGTTAAATAAGACCCCACTATAAAATAAAGGAATCACCAATTATTTCAGACAGTAAGGCATCATGGTTTTATTCCTTTTTTTTTTTTTTTTATCTTTTGGGGACAAATGCAGCCATCATATGAACAAGCAACATTGCAAATACTTTTAATGACAGTTAAAAATATTTTTTCCATGTTAAATCCTGTCAATTTGACTACAAACAACCATGTTTTCAGAGGCACGTAAGCATCTAAATTACTAATTATGCAGACAAATGAGTACCAAAATACTTTTGTGGATATCACCCCAAGTACTTAGAGGTTTCATGCACCCTCGGGGAGGGCAGCAGCAGAGGATCTCAAACACACCAGCCGCATTTTGCCTCTCCCTAATACCGCCTGAGTGCTCCCCATTACCAAGCCGTACCTGTAACTCAGCACCACGTGCATTTTGGACTACACCCCGCCACAGGACTTGCCCTAGTTATTCCTTAAATACAAGTTGAGTCAATTTTTCCATGGTAAATTCCCAGAGTACATTCCTAAGTTTATAAAACAGCTATAAAATTTTGCTTTGAGCTTTGGTTGTATCGATTGTAGTTGCCGTAAGTAAAATAATATGTCACCAGCTAACTTTTGTGCTGAAATTTCACATGGCACATGTAGACATTTTTTTAAGACTTTAGATTTAAGTGAAAAAATGTGTCTAAAAAAAGTGGTGCATGAATTATGTGAGTTGATGGTCTGTTTTAAATCTTTATTAAGACCAGCAGTTTTTGCTAATGCTTTAAAGTTTGTTGTTAGTAATATTGCCAAGCACTTACATATTTTATTACAGAAAAAAACTAAAAAAAAAAGAAAAAAAATTTGCAGCCACTAAAACCTGCAGAAGTCCAATTTTGGGGGACTAAATTTCCCACAATATATAATGCCTATGTTACACCCAGATAAATATTGTAATTTCTCAGATCAGTCACATTATTTCAAATGTATGTGTATACATATATTCCTACTTGGGACCTTGAACCTTTTTAAAATGTTTCCAGGATTTAAAGACAAAACTGTGAAAATCAATATATTTTGAAATCTGCATGCCCAAGAACTCATCTGGCTATTACTGGTATCTGGTATCCGAGCACCTACTACGCTTCATCACAGCTAATTTTCTCTTTATTTTCTTCTTATGCCAACTTTTATCCACATTAGTTTCTACAGTTCCTCTTCCACCTGTCCCTTTCTGCTCTGCTTCATGTTCCACCTCTTCTTCTCATCCTTTCATTTTTGTTCTCCATCTTTCTCTGTTCTCCAGTCTGCCGCTCACTTTCCTGAGCACGCATAAAGTCAATTGTTCAGTTTCTGTTCAACACATTTATTAGATTGAATTCAACCCTGCTGTATAGGGCTCCTTAACTTAATCAACAGTACAATGTAATTAACAGGATGCAGTATCAGGATGTAGTAGTCCCTGCACAAGTCTTTCCCGTAGAGGCCAGAGAGGACGCTCACCCCTACATCTGTCTGCCCATACTCACACTCTCACCCACCACACGCTGACGCTCAGCACAGCGCAGGGAGCAGTTTTCAACTCCAGTAGAATATATCAAGATGAGGAAATATCTGTAGACAGCGAAATTGCATTGTTTGCGGCAAAACTGCAATTAAAATGGTCTTCCATGGGGAAATTTGCAGGGGGAATTGCAAGCCTGCCAGGAAAGCCGAACTGGCTGAAGTAAGGTGAGATAATGAGGTTAATGAGAGAGGAACTTCCGGTCCCCAGAAGGTCCCCAGGAACATAACAGCAGCAAAGACTGACAAATGTTTATGCTGAAGGAGAGAGGTTGTGTGGTCAGGTGGTTGTGCTTCCTCTCCAGGCCGTCAGACGTCTTCTGGTACACGAGTGGTTACTGAGATAAATTCTCTCTCTTCACCCGAAGCCCAGCAGCACATGGTGCTGTTTTAAAGCTGCATGCTCCGGTCAGCCATTCTGCCCTACGGGTCTCTCCCTCTTGCTCCCACCATTTCTACTGGTG